TTGACTGGATTTGTTATATGAGTTCTACCCTGCAAACCATACGAGAAGACAAGAAGGAGAGGGATAAGTCACAAAGATACGAAATAATGGTATCATGCGTCATTACTTAGCTATCACTAACGTAAAGTAAACAGAAATAAGCAGGAGAGATTAATCATAATAGCAACCGAGCATACCCTTCTGTATGCAGACCCACCAACTCGTCGTCAGCAGCAAACCACTGTCGAAACGGACATCCCGTCCCTCACACCTCCTGGTGAACCGCAGTAGCCTTTTCGGCCACAGCATTCGCAGTAAGACCCATCTCGGCCGTAAAGGTGCCATGCGGTCTCCACTTGGCCGAGGTACGGGGCGTGGTCTCTTCCATCATCTTGTCCACCTGCTCAAGAGTGAGACCCTTGGTCTCCGGGATCAGGAAGTACGTGTACACAAAAGCGCAGGCGCACAGTGAGCCCCAGATGAAGAATACCTTGGCCTTGAGGTCACCCTTATCCTTGTCGACCATGTAGGGGGTAATGACGGCGATGATCTGACTGGTCAGCGTGTTTTGTCAACAGGGGAGCAAGTCACTTACGCAATTCCACAGCCAGTTTGAAGCCGTCGACAGAGCCACACCACGCGACCGAATAGGCAAGGGGAAGATTTCGCCAATCACAACCCAGGCGCCCGGTCCCCACGTACTAGCGAAGAAGAAGATGTAAATGCAGATGAAGGAAATCTCTGCGCTGACAGCGTGCTTGTTGCTGCCGTCCACAGTGCCGACGATAGCGACAATGAACTGGCAGATGACCATGCCAAGTGCTCCCCACAAAAGGAGCGAACGGCGGCCAAACTTCTCAATTGTGTAGAAGGAGACAGGGGTTGAGCAGACGTTGACAATAGTGGTAATCATGCTGATGAGGAAGGGGTCATCGATGGTTCCCAGCTATACTCTGTCAGCGCATCATCTCGGCACCGATCGATCTTACTCACCGACTGGAAGAAGGTCGTTCCAAAGTAGAAGACAAAGTTGACACCGGTCCACCTGAATGACAGTTAGTATCTCTCTTCACATTTGTGTGTGGGTGTGGTGCAAGGTTGTGACTTACTGTTGCATCATCTGCAGGGAAGTACCCAGGACTGTCCGACGAAGGTTGCTGTTGGGAGAGAACAGACTGCCGCGGAAGCAGTTCATCCAGCTGACGAAGTATCCACCTTCCGGGATCACCTGCATCTCGTACTCATGGTTTGCCACGATCTCAGCCAGCTCATCCTTGATATAGTCCGAGTCTTGGGGCTGGCCACGAACGCGGGCAAGGACCTCCGCAGCCTTGGCCAGGTTACCCTTGCGAACAAAATAACGAGGGGACTCGGGCAGGCAGAGCAGACCACCTCCCAAAATGATAGCCCAGGCGAGCTGGAGGCCGATTGGGATACGGTAGGAGCCCGAGTCGAGACGGTTCTCAGTACCGTAGTCGACGCATGAGGCCAACATGAGCCCGATAGTGATGCAGAACTGGTACCCTGAGACAATAGCACCACGAACCTTGCGAGGTGCAATCTCAGACATGTACAGGATGATAATGGCGGAGACAAAGCCAACACCGAATCCCGCGATCAGACGCCCGGCAACTAGCAGACCCAAGGAGGTCGAAGCGGTCTGCAGGACAACACCAACGACGAAGACCACGCAACCACTGACAATGGTAGTGCGACGACCAAACCAGTCTGCCAAGTCACCCGCAATGAGGGCACCAAAGAAGGTTCCAGCCGAGAGGATCGACGTGATCAGCGATTTTTTCCAGGACGGAAGGACGAAGGAATCTGTGGGGGTAGTGTTATAGTCCTAATAGATGTCAGTCATGTCAGTCCCCTCTTAACTTATTAGTTGTTGCGATGACGCTACATACCAAGCCCTCAAACTCCTCGATGAAGTATCTCATCCCCATGACACCGCTGATATAACCCGAGTCATAACCAAAGAAGATACCACCAAAAGCCGCAAAGGCACACATCAAGTAAGTCTTGAGGGTGACTGGGGCCTCGACGCGCGAGGCGTCCACGAAGCCATCAGCCATGGCTACTGAGGATAGACCGTGTGATGGTCCGCACAGTGAAAGAAAGTGACAAGAAGGGTGGACAGAAGCCTATATGGCAGCAATGAGAGAAAGGTAGCGGCGTTCACACGAAGACTGTGGGATATGAACGAAGGTGACGGAGAAAAGGAAGAGGGGAAGCACCGAAAAACAAGACAAGAAAAAAACGAGATCAGGGGTATTGGTCGGTTTTATAATCCTGTGCGAGGGTCCAAGTTGCATCATGCTCAGCTCACTGCTGGACTCGCGACTTCCCGTTGAGAATCGGGCCAGCATCGGTACCGGGGGAATGCCCATGGGGTTCCCCAGCTGTGGCCACCATGCCGTCTGTCCAGTTTGGCCGCCGGCCGTGACTCGTTGGGCTGCAGGACGGCCATTGCTGTGGAGCGCTATTCACTGCAGCCGACCGATGGCATGCACAGGGCCCAGAATCCGAAATTACCACCAGACTTGATTCGGATGACTGGCTTCGAGGTGAATGCCTCTCATCCTGCTTGCATGTCCAATCATCAGGCTGAGGTAATTTCCCGGAGAGTTAGGTTTTACCGACAGGGGAAAGTTCTGTACGACCCCAGACCTGGTTTCCCCAGGTTGAGCGTAAGAAATGTACCCACAGGGGGGGCAACGGTTTACGGGGGAGTCCAGATCCAACCCAGCACGAGTCACTGCTATACTCCATAGAAGGTATAGTAAGTCTGCAAGTCAAGCTAGTATAGTACGACTTGTTGACAGGATTTAGTTGCCAACAGCCAAACAGAAACTCGGTCCAGGCCGGCAAACCCCGTCTGGTTCTGGCATTCACTCTGATTGGCAGGGTTTCACAGGGGTCGGAAAATTGAACCTACCACGTGCTGCGCAGAGGAAGGATTCCCCACAGTTAAGTGCCAGTCTAGCCGGATCTGCTTAGTGCTGTCATTTTGGGTTTCCGATCACGAGATGAGCTTCTTGGACCCTGATCAACTTTCACAGTTCACACAGGCTACTAACATAGCACTCGGTCCTATCGGGGTAACATAGTAAGCATCTTTCTTTGACCCTGGCATGTCACCCTCATTGTTCTCGATTCCCCATTTCACTATTCCCAGAAATTATCGTTCGCCATGTTAAGCTCCAATGTAACCTTTCCGACAAGGTCCATGACCGTAGCTAATCACGAGCCATCCCCTCCAGAACACCTGGTAGCGAGCACAGACGACTGCGACGCCACCACGACTATTGAAGGTTGCCCAGCCCGCTGAGTCGGAAGGTAACTGGTCTCCTGTCCGGATCCAGGTCTTGGTCCGAAGTGGCCCTCCGTCCGCGGGATTCTTTGTTGGGTCTTTATCCCAGCTGGAGGAACAGCCTCGGACCTGGCCGAAAGACTCTTTCAGGTTCACACGTGGTTTCTTTTCTTTTTCTTCTCCTGGAGTGGCCTATCTGGGTGACTTGCCTCCTCGAATGGGTCAATTTCGGCCCCGTCTGGCTTGTTCTAGGGTAGGGGAATGTCTTCGCCATCTCAAATCAGCGTGTCATGCCAAGAGGCTTGGCGACCACGACGTCTCGTCCCGCCAGTGCAGGCGCCATCCAGAAAAATTCAACTTTAGCCGAGAGTCTGTCAATACGAGATGCAATCAATCATACTGTAGGAGCCGTGCTATACGCATCATAAGTTGGGTGCGCTAGAAGCGAAGGGGGATGGATATCAAGGCATCATGACAGGAATTGCCTCAAACCATACTATTACCATGGATCAATGACCCGGTGAGCACTTTCAGTCATCTAGATTATTTAATACAAAACTTCCGCTTGCCACGAATGAGAAAGGAGTATGTCCGACAGGCGTCTCAAGTGCAGTCACACTGCAAGGGTCTGTCAAGTCGGTGTTACAGGCTACTGGGATGGATCCCGGTCATGTGAGGTGGTATCCGTGAGAAGTGAGATCTATCTATTTTTCGGGGAATAAAAAGCAATTACTACTACGGTCTACCTACTTTGATACGGACTGTATCACCATGTGGAAGCATTCTAAGTAGGTGCCTAGTACTAGAATCTCGGATACCGTATGATCGGTGATAAGTAGTAGCCTCATGGTGATCTTACAGTGCACGGTGGGTATTCCTCCGCTATTTTATCTATTCTATTAACTTCTGTAAAAATATTTATCTTAGCTACTAATACACAGAATTCATCGATTAGCTATATTATCATAGTTTATTCTCTTAATACACTTATTCAATCCGGTTCAAGAAAATCTTCCATTCCCTAAGGACCACCTAACTACTAAAGTTACCAACACTGCGGGGTAAATAGGTAAGGCATCACCCACATGGCCCCCTTTCCTCCGCGTGGTCAGGCATCCTGTCAACTCCCCCCGACCAACAACCAACCTCCTCACTACTAAGAATGTGGGGTACTCTTAATCCAGCCAAGCTTTGCAAATACCACCACTACAGCATATTATAACATCACTAACCATGACTCGAACTACAATCTCAAGGACATATACATATATTCAGCTCTGACACCCATAATACCAAAGCGTACCAACACAATCTACTAAGCTAAGTAAGCATAAGCCTAAGCATAACCATCATCCTCTCCCTTATCAGGATAATAACCAACCACCCATTCCACAAGAAACGTCGCACAGCCTGTGACTATTTGACTATCTCACGAGTGACTTACGTACGCACACAGTAAGCACAGCCCACACACCCTGTCCATAAAAGATAGAGAATTAACCAACCAGAATAGCACATCATATGCATGTAGTACTTATGTGGCAAGTTGATGGCTGCAACATTCCTTAAGGGGTATGCATATATAAAATATATAGGAAGGTAGTGAGGTGAGTGAGTGCCCTGCCCCTCATCGGGTATATTTACATTTACTACTGGCCTATCATCCGGATGTTGATATTATAAGTAGCATGAACATTACTTCAAGTTATTGGTTAATTGGGATAATAAATTCATCATTCGCTATGCAATATCTCCAATCATACAAAATCACTCTGTATCCTTTACTACTGGTTACCTCCCGTTCTCGGTGCTAGAGACTCAGGATAGTATATCTAAGGTCCCTATAATACCCCACCACGTCAGCCTAAACCTCCCCCAACTACACATTAGATAGATAATAGTAGTAGATAGACATACCTTAAACACCAACTCCCCATTCTCATTAGCAATCTTATCCGCCAGATACAATCCCTGCAACTCTCTGTATCCACCATCCCGCTTCCTCAAGTACGCCGTCAACTTGGGACCGCGGCCAGTGTGCTCGAGCTGAATGTCATTGGCGGTTTCGGTGAAGTTGGAGCCGCCCCAGAGGAACCAGCCTATACCAAATCAAAAATTATTAACAGTCAGTTTCAATACCATACCCACATTTGCTATCTAACATTCGAAAGAAAAAAAAAAAAAAATAGAAGTAATATGGGAGAAAGGGTTAAAAAAAAAGGGGGGGACATACCATCGGTATTTCCAATATGTCTATCGAGACGGATCTTGCGAGCGACATACTCTCCATTCGCACGACGCACCTCGGCGTGCAGGAAAGTAGCACCGGGCTCGTGGATGAGGTGGATGTTTTGGCAGCTGTTGTGGAAGGACATTTTCGTAGGTAATGTTTCTCTTTGAGAAAGAAAAGGGGTGAGGTGGGGTGGGGTGAGGAGAGTAGAGAGAAGTTGAGCAAGAAAGAGGGATTGACTGGGTCAAGTGGAAGGGTTTATATAAGTTGGAAGATCGCAAGCATTGCTGCCCTACTGAAACTAACCTAGCTGCTAACTAGCTACTAACCTTCTGGATGGAGACCCTGGGACTGGGGATTGCTGCTGCTGGTGAAGTCACCCTGCAGGAAGGAAGCTCGGGTGGGTCGATTTTCCCTTCCCTCTTTTTTTAAAAAGAGGGGTGGATTGTGGATGTAGTAGTGGGGCTAGGCAGCATTTACTTGTTTAGGTGCTGGAAGGTTCTGCTGCTGGTGATTATATTGGAAAAGAAATAGAATACATAGTATATTTCTTGTTTATTACCTTCAAAATAAATATCTACGATGGTAGTATTGTAGTATGGCTGGTTCGGTTCCGCCCGAGTGCCAGTACCGTTGAACTGACTGAATGGAAAGGATCGGGCTTGGAGAAGAAATGATGGAATGATCCGCACAGGGATCGAGTGGGCCGGGAAAGACAGACGGTCGCGTGACTTTCAATAGTCTACACTTTCAATCACTACTATCTACTCCTATACTGACCTTGAGATCAATGTCCTAAGAATAAGGAATTATTTCTATAATTAATTTACTGAAAGACTTAAGTGCTTACTCTTAACATAGGATTCATCACCATCAGTTTCTATTTCTGCCTAAGGCACCAATCTCCTAAAAGACCAGTCATATCAATCCACCTGAAACCGCAGTGGGCTCATTGCTCCAGCCACATTCTAAAAATACATATAGTAGAGTGATCTGAACAGCCACAATCACTACTAGTCTATTAGCAGCATTGGCATCGCCACATCCCCACTCCACCGCTCCCTGGGAGGCAAATGGTCATTTTACTTACTTGACTTACTGCTGTGGAAGGCTTGGTGTGACTACTTATCATCCTTGGCAATTATGACGATGGTTCAAGTTGGGTGGTGGCACAGTCACCGGATGAGTGCTCCTATTCCAGGTTGAGTGATACTAGTAGTACTTGTGGTACTATGTATGAGGTGTAATATATATCATGAGCATAGTATGATTGGTGCTAGAAGTAGTATTGACCCAGGTTGATACCCTGCAGCCTCTGCAGGCTGATGATGTTGATTGTGCCACTGTGGTATAACATTTACCTAGGGTTTGTAAAGTACAGCGTGAGTACACGGCAGGATCATTTTGGGCGATCTTTCAGCACAAATGAAAAAGAAAATAATTATTAGACTAACATTCTAGATTAAGACAGTGTATATATATATAAACCCCGGTTCCCAACCTGGCTATGCAAAACCCAATATCATCATGTGGCCAATACAGCTGACCCAAAACACCAGTGAACCCAAGGAAAGAGAATAATCCCCCACAGCATCAGTATCAACTGCTGCACCCAGCCACCCCCCCGTCAATCAGATGCAATTCTCCATTGACGTACCCGCCTGCCTTACTGGCCAGATACAAAATAGGTCCAGCAATCTCCTCGTGCCGGCCTGCTCTTTGCAGCGGAATGAACTCGCGGTCAAATGCGCCTTCGACCGAGATCTCTTCGTTGGCTGGGCTTCCACACAGATTACTTGGGAATACTGTATTTCAGTTAGCACCTCGTCTCAGAATACAAAGGGGGGGGGGGGGAGGAACACTCACGGCCAGGAGAAATTGTGTTTGCTCGAATCCCATGAGGAATCAAATATGTCATCATCTTCCTCATCAACATGTTCACAGCTGCCTTGCTCATTCCATACGCACAGCCCCCAACGACTCTCCGGTTATGTGCTGCGACACTGCTCACAGCGATGACCTGACTCTTCTGAAAGACGTTTCCTCGCTTGTTGCCCTTGTCCAGTAACGATATAAAAGCCGCAATGGTGTAGAATACCCCTGTTGTGTTTACCCGGAACGTGTCTAGAAATTCATCGACGGGGGTATCCATAAGGAAGGATTCTAACTCATCCGGGGTCGCATTATCCTGTAGAGTGCGACCGACCTTCACACTGATGGCTTCTGGTGAGTCCATATAAAGCATCCCCGCATTTGCGACGAGCAGGTTGATGTATCCGGTTTCCGTATGAATCTGATCGGCAGCGGCAGCAAGAGAGGCCTTTGAGCCTACATCAGCAACGATAGGGATGATAACACCAGGATGCATGTCGGCTGTATCTTCGAGAGTCTCTTTGTGACGACCCAGGATATAGACTCTGCTGGCGCCATTGGTAGCGAGGGCGAGAGCCATCGTCTTGCCCAGACCTGCGATGGTAACATCATCATCATCAGCTTGTGTTAGACGAATACAATCGTAAACCGCAACCACACATACCAGAGCTCCCGCCAGTGATGACGGCAACTAGGCCGCGCACATTGAACAAATCCTTGATATCGTACGGCATCTTGATGGGGATCGCACTTGAGTGATGTGATGTGAAAGGAAACAATCAGAATTTTAATCCATGATCCCAGTTATATAAACGCACCCACAGATCGGTGATACGTCAATTGACACAGATAAGTTAGTCGGTATGTCGATCATGATTGGATGTATCACAATGACACACACTCCCAACTTCGCTGTACATCCACGTCGACGCAGACATTCTCGTCGATGTCATATTGTCCAGATGAAGCAAATGATAAGTTATATTGGGTTTGGAAAGAAAATACTCTAACGTAGAGGTTCCTACCGCATCTAACCAGTGGCAACACAACGAAGAATCAAGCCAATAGTACTGAAGCTTGACCCCCGTTAAACTGCCCCCAAGCTACCATAACCTACTTCGGGCTTCTCTCGGGGAAGCTGAGTAACAGACTCATCTAGGATATGTCTAAAATCTATCATACCCAACCCTGCAGGAGGTGCATGACGCAAATGTAATGAACACAAATCATTGCCACTTGGTTCCAAAGTACTTAAGAATTGTGGGTAAGTCCGCTGGTTGGGTGCTACTCAGGAGGTCACGATCATCAGCCGAGAGTTCAGTCCGTGTGAGAGGAAGCTTCGGTTATAAATCTCGCTGCCGCACTTCAGATGAATTAGAATTGAAATATGGTTTGCAAACTTACGTTTTCGAGGATCTAGTATGGTCTACACGATCTCCTCGGAGCGCTCTAGATCCTACTATACTTGGTATGTGGCTCTTCTGGTTGCTTGTTTGTTCGATGAACAACAGGTAAATGCAGATAGACGTAGTATCCTGGATAGCAAGTGCAGTATCACTCAGAAGAGCGCAAGCAGCTGGAAGCAATGATTCTTCCCTCGGCATGTGACGTATCGCACGCAAAAAGCAGAAGGAGCGTCTACTGAGAACCATGATCAAGGTTTGAACCAGAAAGCTTCTTGATCGCCTGACCTTCCCTAAGTCAAAAGCATACAGATAATATTTGCTCACGTATATACACAGCCGAACCCAAATGTAATATATACACCCTTCATCCGTCTAAGTAAGGCCCGACCTCCAGTGTACATGTTCACAGGCATTCTAACTTAATCAGAAGTGGCGGTGCAGTTGACACTCAGAAGACTCTCATCGACCTGAATAACATTAGTCACCTATTTGGATCTTCACCTGGCTTTGGCCGACTCACATTATCGCAAACAAAATCGTTGGTCCCATCCGGGCTGGTTACATTGATATTGGAAACATAGATATCCGAGCAAGTCTATCGAGTGTCAGCAATTGCACACCGAGCACCTATCCTGGAGGGCACTTACATCAGGACTGGAACAAACAATTGTCCCAACATAGGGATCTTCGGATCCCGATGTCGTTCCGCGGAAGTTCTTGATGTGGACGTCCGAGATGGTGAGAGAGCTCTATTATTGTGTTAGGATAGCTTCGGGGAAGCGGCTGAAGGTCTACTAACCGGGTACTCGTTGCACAAGGTAGTATTCTTCTGCCCATAGCACTGCGTGATTTCAATGGCCCAGTCGACATTATCAATGAGTGCGGTGTCATAGGTGATGTTCTTTACGCTACCCGAGCCACCGCCGCCTTGAAGATCGGCAGAGAGCGCAGAGGGAGTACCAGGCCAAACCTTGATGCGGGCCATATCCTGCAACCAAGTTAGTAAGAAGAGTATTATTTGGTAAAAGTCCAGACATACCGAAGCGTTAAACATAGAGATGTTGTACACATAGACATTCTCAACGATGTCAACCTCATCCTTGTATTGGCCGAGGGAGCCCACAGAAATGCCGTGGGAGCCATTGCAGTGAAGGTTCTGAACGAGGATATTGGTGCTGTTCGGCTTGAAGGAGACACAGTCTTTGTAAATTCGCAGGTTAGAATTGTTGAAGTATGACGCTACTTAGGTTTAACTTACCATCACCGTTGTTGATCACCGAATTCTGGATAACGATATTGTTCGAGCGGTAGGTATCCCTATGGTGAAAAAAGGTCAGTATAACGCTCAGTGTAAAGCAGGATAAAACGCACCATCCATCAGTGTTCTTGGCCTCGTTATCGCTCTTACTGTAACCCGAAATGTCAATACCATCAAAGAGGACGTTCGACGAGTTAGCCACAAAGTGGTAGTACTGCGGCGAGTACCGCAACTTCAGCGGACCGATTGTGCCACCATTCAGCCCAATGATACCCATCAAGATGGGTCGCAGAATGAGATCATCTTCGGCATACAAATCATACCAGACCTGTCCGTTGCCATTGATTGTACCACCACCGTACATATTCACATCTTCACCACCGAGTTGGAAGAAGGTCGTAGCGTTCTGGAAGCCCTGTTTGAAGGAGTTGGCTTGCCAGTAGTCTGTATCGTTGGTGAATAAGATTGTTCCGAGGACCTCTATTGAACCATAAGGTTAGTCAATGGTCACCTTGCTTGGATCTGCAGAATAAGCACCTAGGTCAATGTTCTTCAGGAAGGTCATATTCAACGCCGTCCCAATAATGTACTCCTTGTCCTCATCGAAAACGACCTTCCCACCGTGGTTACATTGGTTCAATGCGGAGAGAATGTAATCAGA